AAGCATAAGAACAGACATGAGGACCGAGATGTTGCGCTAATCTTCAGCATCGGACGCATGATTTGGAAGATTGGCAATTTCAAGAGCTACCTGTACCTAAAAGTGGTCTGGCCTTGTTTCGCCAACTGGTTCGTGCTGTCGGGACGATGTATTTGGATGCGCATTAGTCATGACAACAGTCAAAGGAGACCGCCCCGACAGCACAATCGAGTTGTCAAGGCGAGGTTGGATTAGTAGAAAAAATAGCAACATTCAGTACAAATAGACTTCCTGGACGCGGGAAGAAAGGTGGCCTGGACGGCATAGTTGACAGCCAACAGACAATCAAGTGGATGGACGCCATAAGAACGAAACCCTCGAACCCTCGGCCAAATGGACTGGTACACGAGTCCCTTGTTCGAGGCCCACCGACACCCGATTTGCCTATGCAGCCCTAAACAATCCCCGACTATTGAGGACCTTCAAGAAGTGGCACGAGTAGTGCAAGAGTAGTTTGAAGCATATACTTGCTCACCCATAAAGTGTAATTGTTCGCTGTTGAGTGATGCTTGAGTTGTATAAAGTGAATATTGTTAAACTAAAAATGCCGCTAAGCATTAAATAAACTGACACCACAACTTTGTTGGCTCGGCTTCGCTTTCTCTATTTGGTCGAAAATCGGTCCCGGTCCTGCATCTTCAGCATGAGTAGTCATGCTCGTTGAATTGGTACATTTGCAGACATAACGCCGACGCCATAGTCGGTATCGTCAGTGAGAAAGATAAACGTTAGCGCCGAGTGACAAATCGCCAGAGATTCAAGTGAAGAGAGCCTCTTGATTAGTTTTCTGCTTGACCGTTTACGCGTCTCTCCCTCTTCCTCAATCCGACCATAAACCAGTTCACTGACATTTCCAGGAGCCACTAGCTCCAGCCTCCTTTGGACCGCTGGTGTGAAGAGCCACGGATTCACTCATCCATTTCCGCGTCAAACATATCATTCTTATTAACTTTTCGTATTCTCAGTCCTTCTATCATTTCAGTCCAACCTATTTATGCGGTTCCTCTCAACTCACTTCAACATTTGATCCAATTCTCAGGCATTAGATCATTAACCAACCCCACCGCTTAAACAGTGTCCTGGGATGTGTTGTTGAGCTCAATTCAATTTCAAGAGAAAGTGTTTGAAGAAGAGATTCGAAGACAGATCCCGCCGGGAAACGACTACCAGCAGATTCCTCTTGGACAGCTGTCGAATGGCTTTACTGGAACATTCTTGTTGACACCATTTCCGAGGCAATCTCCTCCGATTACGACTAAAACGTGCTCTGTTTTCGCTTTCATATGATCAACATCATCAGTGAAGGCTAGCATTGCTAGAAACATGAGATATAAAGTGATTTGTCTATTTCAAGTCATATGACAACCTCATGCGATCATGTATGTGTGACGCCAAACGAATGTCTCTTCTCGGTAAGCAAGTTTCAATGGCCACCATCACCAGCTCTTTTTTCCTCATATTTCAACTATACTTCCAATTGCGTAATGGCTGACATGGTGAATTGGTGGGCTTCTCATCTTCGTGTGAGAGAGAATGAGCGGACCAAGATGCAAAAGTAGTGACCGTAATTGGAAATAAGAAAAATAAAGACTATTCTTCATTTGTAAGCAGGTTTTCGAGACTAACAGTAGGTTAGATATTTGAGATGTGATCGCCTCAATTCGTAGTAGTTGACTTTTTCCATAATGATATGAGTCGACCTTATGCTTTTATTGAATTTCACATAGTTTTTCTGTCCAGAAGGTATTCTCATCCAGTATGGGCTACATCTCAATAAAAGACTAGTTGATTGGTACCACATATTTTCACCGGAATCGAATGAAAGACAGACTCAACAAGAATGTTGCCGTAGAGCCAAGCGAGATTTGGCCAAGAAGAATCCACACTTCCCTTCTGGTCGGATACCTCTTCGAATCTCCTCACGAAACACTTTCACTCGAAAAGGAATTGAGCTCAACTATTTTGAGCTAAAAGATTCCTCGAAACCCAAAATTTGCTCCAAAAATGGACTGGGAGATAACTCCAATACTCAACTGGATTTGTGATAGATCAAGATCCTAAATTTCGCCTCCATTCTGGCCCAGGTACTTTCTTTGAAGTCGCCTTGAAACAAACTTGACGAACTAACTGTATTCTAGCGGAAGAGAATGTAACCAAGCCTAAAGCTGTCTCATATTCATAAAGTCCGTTCCGAGACTGTCAGTACATCTAGATTGATGTGAAACCCGCATTTTCTCCGTTTAGTAAACCTAAAATAAGATAATGAAAGACTGATATTTGAAGTTTCCCACAATCTAGTTCATAACCCCCACAATGCTATTTACTTCCAAAAAGCAATATAATCTCGGATGGACTCGACTGGACGGTATTTTCAACCTCACGTGAACTTGTCTCAGCAGACCCTCCAGCGGGAACCGAACTGTGGTCTCGATATTTTAGCACATAAATTCCACACTTTACCACCGCATCACACTTCCACGAATGCTTCTGGGCGATATGATGGACGTACCTTTCAAGGCCAGATAAACCTCTCTCACAACTCATTTTCACAGTGAGATTGTCAACGAGGCAAACTTGTATATTGTCAATATAATCAACCGCGCTACTTATGCTCGTCAAAAGTAGCGTTTGAAATTGCCAGTAGATTTGAATAAGAATGTCGATTTGACAAATAAAATGCAAAAATTAATTGGAAAATTAATCCTATATGATTGGTCCATTAAATGCAAATCCGGTGAGGAATGGACATCAAACGAAAATGCTATTTATTAGATTAATAGGATTTTTAATTGATGGGCTCCGATTGAATTGTGCCTGAGAAGTTTAAAGTATACCAAACGAAACAAGCGTTGATTGCTACAATGTTTTAATTACACATACTAGCTTGAGGGCTTGCAACCATTCGGTTTCCGTGTGAAAATCAGTTTCCTTCGCCGGTAACCCTTTAAAGGTGTGTTTCTCGTGAGGAGACTGCCTTCTCACAACCGTTCACACTTGCTCGGAGATAATCAACACTCGAGCACAACATACTTTAGCTGAGACGTCGAGAACTCGAGGCCCCAGTGCATTTCAGTCCATCTCAGCAACGAGACAAATGCTGCCCGGCTCTCTTTTACGTCCGCTTCAAGTTGTCCTTTGCTCGATTCTCTTATTTTCATCATTATTGCAGAAATTTTGGGTTCTTTATAGTCACAAGTGCGACTCAAGTGACTCGCTTGATTGCAGCTAAGGTGGACTACTGACTTGGCGACAGGTTAATTGGTATCTGGAACATGTATTCTTCTAAACCTAGAGCCATCCTCTCCGACGAATCCGCAAGTGACTCGAATAGCAGAGACGGAAATCGCCATCTCCTGGTCGCCCCCGTTGGTGTCGAATGGCAACATCTCCACCTACTTCATCGTCGTGGTGCCAGTCGACGACATTTCGCAGATACCATTTTACGTAGAAGTCCCAGTATCCTCGCAGGAATATGTGCTCGAAGGCCTGAACAAAAGTAGCCGCTACCACATCTACCTGTCCGCCTTTACAGCACCCAACAGCGAAGGAATTGGCGGAGGTGGCGGAGCATACACTTCCAACCCTCTCGAAGTGCTCACCATTGCTGAAGGTCAGCTGTCCCTTTACTGCATCATCCTCATTTTGGCAAAATATTTTTTTATCATTTTTTCTCATTATTCTGTACCGTTCATTTAACAAACGCTTCGTAACAGCCATAAAGTTTCCAGGATAGGATGCTTTCCTTCTTTTCTTGGATGTAGTCACCATGCGCCTATTTTAGGTGGCATGGGAAAGGCAACTTCACCTCTTCCACCTCATAATCACTGTTTAATAGTCAAATTCATTTTGAAACAGTTATGCCCTTCCTCAGGCTGCTTTACCAATTCGTTAAGAGGAATATTCAATTATTTTTCAAGAGTCCTACTTACCTAAATTATATATAAGTAGTATATTTCAGAGTCAAGAATTAGTTGGTAGAATCCTGGGGCAAATCGAGCTGAATGATGAAAGCTTTTTTTGAACCCAACAGCCCTTGCAGGCCCTTTTTCGAATGGGACGATAAGTCTCTCCAACATAAAAGCAACCAAATGAACACATTATTTGGTAGCAACCCGATTAGGATAATGGGTCACCTTTCTCCCCAAAAGTGGGCATAACTGAGGAAAGTGTCAGATTTACCCTAAAAACTGTTTAATTCCCCATTTTCTTACAAGTTCGACTATCTTTTTAGAGAGATTGCACTAAAGTAAAGGCAAAACATGATCCTACTTTTTATCTCCCCTTACTTATTCACCATTCAAAAAGATATAATTTATTAATCTGCACGCAAGTAATATCAGCTTGATTTGATGCAGTTCAGTATCAAAATGGCCTCTATCGAAAAGTTTTAAGCTCCGTATCGTCATAGTTTTTCAAGCTTTAACCTCTCTTTTGTTACTACGGAAAAGGCTTTCCATATACATTCCCGCTTGACTTCTGGTTTGTGGGGTGTCGATAGTCGTAGACATACCATAATCAGCGAGGCGACAAGTTTGAGACCATTAAATATCATGTCCAGTTTCGACCGTGTGCTCCGCTGGCTCTCATCTTTGAATTCAACAGCCACCTTTTATCGC